TTATAACCTCGGACTCGGCATACTTTCTGAGGGCTGTGCCCAAGTTTCTCAAGGACTCGATATACGAGACGTGGGCTGCAGCCAGGGAAAATCGAGAGTCGATGGCTTGCTTTATGAATTTCTTCCGGTCTTTGCAGAGTTTGAGGGCATGGCTTTTCTCTGGCTTGGAGTTTGTGATGCCCATTTGTTTGAAGACAACAAATGGGGAATGCAAGTTTGAGGAGGGTCTTTAGGTAAAACTTCAAGAAACAAAACGGATTGGCTTTGAGATTCTCTCAGTTTTTCAGGTAAGCATTTTGCCCCCCTATTTTCCGAACTAACACCATTAGATGCTGTTAAATTTACAGAAACACGGGAATAAAGATGAAATGGGTACAGTTTTCTTGCAATAAAAACCCTTATTTCTCAGCCCTTTTCGCTTTTCACCATAACCATACACCTTCAAAAACAGGAGAAAACAAAGTTGGTATTTTTTTATCTCTGTAGAAGGGAAATTAAAGGAACGCTAAACAGATAATGGAAAACTACAGAAGCTTCACCACGTCGTTGAAAACATAAAGGTACACAAAAAAACACAACAATAGCAACAAAAATGAAGACAAACACATTCAACACGAAAGATTCATGAGTTATTGATATGCCAAATCAATTGTAAACAGTGGACAAATGCAGGCAGATGCATATACGCAGTATCTTGAAGCCCAGAAAAATGAAGCAACCTTAGAGATAAACAAAACAATTTGATGCAGGATTCGTGCACAGTCGCCCCCACCTTCACCTTTTCTGCAGAATCTTGAGAGAAAAAATAATAAATAAAAAAAAAATACTGTTGCGAGCCCTTTTCAATGTGGAGAGAGGCGCACACAAGCTGTGTGAGAGAGATTAATGGTGATAACTGATAAAAAAGGAGAACTCGAGTACAGTTTGACAGACACACGAAAAAGGAAGAGTGAGCATAGAAATTTGTGTAAATGATACTAATCTCTGCATTAATTACACCTCTAATTCTCCTTTTTAAGCTGATGTGGATTTTTAAAAGTACAAGACAAGACAAAATGCACAAAACCTCTTTTTCATTTTTTTCCTCCCTTTTTTAATGGGTGGGGTTGGAAATTTGGAATCTTTTATTATTTTCTCCCTATTATTTTATATCTTGTTTGCCTTTGTGCTTGATTAAAAAAGAAACATGGAACCAACAGAGTTAAGACGGGTAAATTGTACCATACCCCCTGTATTATATGAAACCTGCGCATTATTTTCTATATTTTAAAAATTGCGCTATACCCCTTTATATTATACTTTTGATTGTGCATGCTCCCCCCTCCTCGTTTCCGTGTTAACCCCGTTAATTTTTTGCTTAACTTCCCGTTATGCCCTCAGAAACAAACAATTACAGTCAGTCTAAAAAAATCTCTCTCTCTTCAAAACGAAATTACACTCAGAAATCAGGTTTAGTGAAATTAGCGCATTTGCAAATTAGGGCATTTTCGAATTAAAATCAGTTTTAGGGTTTAGGGAATTTTGTTCTTGATTCTATGATGGCTTTTTTTTGTCCTGATTCTATTATTGGTTGCAGGTGATGGCTTTTGTTTTTAATGTTAGAGTTGGGGGAGAGATAAAGTTTTTGCCATTTATGCACTACTTTGGTGGCCATCGAGTTGCAGTTGACTTCTATGACATGGATAAATTATCCATGTTTGAACTGTTTGATGTATATAAGTAGGCAGGGGGCAAAGCAAGCGCAGTTGATATATTTTCTCACAAGTCTGGCAAGGATTTAAAAACAACAAAGAAGTTGTTGAAGATTTCCAGTGACAATGACATTTTAAAGCTGGTGAAGAAATATGAAGGGCAGGATGTGATACCTCTGTACTTTGAAGATTTGCAAGGCCCTGTACTGATGATGGACGAAGATGGCAATGTGTTATCTTCACAAGAAGAGTTCCCCCTTCCATACACTGAGGAGGACACTCTTATAGACCTGTATTGGGACCAAGAAGCTGAAAAAGATGATGGTGCTGGGGCTGCTACTTGTGATCAAACAGATGATGGTGCTGGTTCAGATGATGGTGCTGGTGCTGGTGCTGGTACTGGTGTTGGTGAAGAGACACCTACTTCTGGGGCTAATGCAGATGATGGTGATGGTTTAGGGGCTGAATCAGATGATGGTGATGGTGTTGGGGCTGATGTAGATGATGGTGTTGGTGCTGGGGCTGATGCACATGATGGTGAAGAGACACCTACTGCTGGTGTAATGAGCACCTTTTCACATGATGAAAGACAATCCCAAACACCTGGTGCTGGCCATGAAGATGATCATTTTGCATCTGGAGTGGCAGAACAACTATTTGGAGAATCGGATGATTCTGAAGATTCAGAGTATGAGCCACAAGAAGACAGTGGTGAATCCTCAGATTTATCTGAGTGGGAATTGGAGGATCTTGAAGGCCCTGATGATGATGATATATTCCAAGAGAGGGCACATGATCATGATAAGAAGGTACACAAGAGGGCAAGAGAATGGCTGAAACAAAGAAGAAAGCAGAAAAAAAAAACAAGAAAAAGAAGCTGAAGGTTTAAGAACACATACAGAGGAAGGTTGGTTTATGCTTTGTGCATTTTTTATTTTTTTTTGTTCCTGACTTAATATTTATCTGTTTTGACCCTGAATTCATGTTTCTTATGTGCAGATTGGTATAGTCCACCTGAGGATGATGATAATTGCCTTGAAGAGCCTGATGAATGGAAATAGGGTGCTGATATGTCAAGGTTTGAGTTGAAGGTTGGTAAAAAATTTACATGCAGAGCAACATTCAAGGAGGTGATCAGAGATTGGTCAGTTAGAAAGGGCTATGATTTGAAGTTCCCAAAGAATGAAGCAAAGCTAATCACAGCAATCTGTAAAAGTGGGTGTGACTGGTCCTTGAGGGCCTCTGTTATTGGAGGTTTGTCAACATTTCAGATCAAGACATTGAAGGCAAACACACTTGTGCTTACAGGACAGAGAACACTCAAGCAGACTACAAGTATCTAGGAAGAAGGATGGTGGATACTTTGAAGGACAATCCTGGTGAGACTTTGTCAAGTCTGAAAAACAAGATTAAGAGACATTGTGGGGTTAAGGTTAGTATGCACAAGACATACAGGGCCAAAGTGTATGCTCTTTCACTTTTGAAGGTTGACCATTGAGAGCAGTATAAAAGGTTGTATGACTACTGCTCTACAGTAGCCAAGTACAATCCTGGTAGCTCTCTTATCCTCAAGGTGAACAAAGATTTTTCACCTCTAAAGTTCATGAGGATGTATGTCTGCTTGGCTGCAATGAGACAAGCATTCTTATCTGGCTGCA